GGAAAATTTAAAAAACCGAATGAGTCAACATAGCTTCCCTTTTCTAGATCACATTATTTCATCTACTTACAGTTTTACCAGCAGAGAAGTTACTCATCACAATAACATAAGATTAATTTTTAATTTAATAGTTGGATAGTTGTTCTACGTTTATTATCAAAACTATTTCATATCATGCAACGGCGATTACTGATTACCGCTGTTGGTTTTCTCTTTTTTTTCAGTTCTGTTTATTCATTGTCACCTATTCCACAAAAGCATCATTTGCGTCACTTTTCAGTTGCTCCTCTTGGTGATGTTGCCTTTTTTTCTTTTAAGATGAAGTATTACATCGATTTCCGACGACTGGAATAATAGTATAGTAATCTATGTATCGATTCCGTTTCCACTGTAGCCATTATGTAATTGAATTTAACAGCATCATAGGAAGCACTGGAAAAAAGACATCAACCGTAAATTTAGTTAAACGGATCTTATACACCTGTGAAACAGCAAGAATTAAGAAAGAGACTATTTTGAAATAAATAAAATGGTCTATCAAGTACCAAAAATGTTAGAAATTACCAACAGAAAAGGATGCATATTTGCTGCATGGACCGATGTAAAGTATTCATTTCAAGTTTCTTATATAAGGAGTGATGTAAAGGTTTGATGTAAGGGAGAAACAATATGGAAAGTAAATTGCTACAGTTTTATATGGAGTGTATGCTTATGGGAGAGCGGGGCAAGTGAGTCATACGGGATAAGTGCGTCTTTCAAGACAAGTTTTTTATTTAGATACGTAAGTGATCTGAGTTAGGTTAAATTTTGGTGTAATGTTATTGTGTTATTGTGTAACAAGGTAAATATCTTTAATTTGCATATTTTGTTGCTTTACATATTATATTTGTGACCGCTTGGTATCAAAAGTTTTCAAAGATTTCATAAGACTATAATTGTACCATCCCATGCATTTCACACTTTAATCTATTAGGAATTATACTTCTCAACTGAGACTTTGCCAGATGTTGAACATTAGGGCAAGTGAGACACTACTGACTTACTTACACCATCACCTAAATCAAATCTGTTATTTGAGACTATTACTTTGGTACCGTTAATTCGTATACATAATTGCAAATAATATGGTTTTCGTGCACTAGAGGTCGTGTAAAGTGGGGAAATGTCCATTAGAAATGCTAGTGTACATTTTGGTGTTTCAAGAACCAGCATCCATTCCAGAATAGAAAGGCAAATAAACATGGATGTAGACCTAGATCTAGACCTGATGATAATTCGAGTAATGGATCAACATTAGATCTCTTAAAGAAAAAAAATTTAAACCCTCTTCGAACACCAGACATACAACATTCTACAACTTTTAGTGACCCAGATCCTGAAATATTACGGAATAAAAACTAATCTCCAATACTTAAATCATCAATCAATTACGAAGACCAGAAACCATCGTGTAGCTATATTCCAGTTTCACATTTTTCACCTATTTCTCAAGAAGTATCAAAAGTAGAAGGATCTAAAATTGAAGACAAAAATTAAATTCTCAAAGCAAAATCAGTAAAAAAACCTAAGAAAAAATAATAAAATTAAAGAAAAATCTGAAAAGAAAAAGTGCAGAAAACCAGGAAGAAGAAAAAGTGCATTTTGTACATCACACAAAAAGATTAAGGAATTGGTAAACATTTCCGAATCACCAGAAGACCAAGCGATTTGAATCCTTTGTAATAATGTCTCACTTAAAGTGAGTCATTGTGAGTTAAGTATTTTGGTAAATGTTTTCTAAATTAATATTTTAAATGCCTGTTTTATTTCTTTTTTTGTGTAGACACGTTCGTTAATAATTAAATTGATATTTGTTTGCTATAATTTTGCTTTATGATTAAAACCTTACAAACTGTGGCCTGTTGTACCTTAACATTACTCACTTGCCCCGTTCTCTCTTATATAAATTCGAGCAGATGCTCAAAAAATTTCTAATTGTAAGTGAAACTAAAATAATTATTAAAATTTTTTAAATTGGGATGTTCTTCCAAACTTTTACAGATAGTTTATATCCCGATAACCACAATTTTATCGTGGTAAATACATATTTACATAACATTCACTAAATACATACTTCCATACAAAATATGTTGTATTATTAGATTTTACCTTAACATTACTCACTTGCCCCGTTCAGGAGGCTTAAGGAGGCATATGAAATTTACACGAAATACAAAAATTAATAAAGAGAGCTAATAAAGCACGAAAAACAGTTACACAATGAATTTACAATACAGCTAGCAGAAAACAAGCAGAAAAAAGGATGGCAAATAATAAATAGGGAAATAAATTTCACCAAAACAACGGAGACCAATTCATCTATAACACCCGAGGAATACAGCGACTATTTGCAAAATATTTGCAGCAAAGTTGATCTCTATAATGGAAACAACTATATGAACGCTTTACAAATACGAAACGAGGGCTCTTGTTTCCTAAGACTGACACACATTACAGAGGTAAAAGAAGTAGTTAAAGGATTTAAATCAAAAACCACGGAGGACATATATGGAATTTCAGTGGCTTTTCTAAAAAAACCATAGATGGCCTTTCCGCTCAGTTGATGTACCTCATTAATATGTGCCTCAAACAAGGAGTATTTCCAAGCGAACTCAAGGTGGCTAAAATCATCCCAAGTTATAAAAAAGGCGATATAGATAAGGCGGAAAACTTCAGACCAATCTCTATTTTACCAGCAATTTCGAAAGTTTATAAATGTATCATAAAAAATCTCAACGTTTTTTGAGAAAAGAGATTTTTTTACTGAATATCAACACGGATATCGCAAGGAAAGATGCGTAGACACAGCAGTACACGAGACTGTCAACAAAATATTAGCAGCGATAGACGAAAAGAAATTTGTGGAATTGGTAGTAGTCGATCTGTCGAAGGCATTTGACAGCGTTAATCACACATTGCTCTTGGATAAGATGTTTTATTACGGGATACGTGGCGAAGCCTTTGATATTTTAAATTCCTACTTGGCAGCTAGGAAACAAATCGTAGTGATTAATGGTAGGAAATCGAATTCGACCGATATTCAATTACGGGTGCCACAAGGTTCAGTACTTGACCCTTTATTATTTATCATCTATATAAATGATATGCCGTATGCTTTACATCATGGGAACCTCTACGCGGATGACACCCCCATCGTTTCAACTGGAGAATTCACCATCACTTGTGAATCGATGCATAATGCTAAACAATGGCTGCAGGTCCTGGCCTAATGGCCTAACTAAATTAAACGAGGAGAAGACGCAAAAAATCATGTTTAATAGAGGACATGAGAAGGCAGAATGTAAATCAATAAAATTTTTGGGGTTATAGATAGATGAGGAACTCAAGTGGTCTATTCACGTAGAGAATACTGCAAAAAAGTTAAACGGGGCAATTTACTGCATAAGGAGAATCAGAACTATTAGTACCTTTGAAGCTACTAAACTTACATATTATGCTAGCTTTCACAGCCGAGCAACCTACGGTATCTTTTTCTGGGGAATGTGTTCAGCTGCAGAGGGAATTTTCCTACTGCAGAAGCAAGCAGTGTGTGCACTTTTCAATCTGGAAAGAATATTTTACTAAATATAAAATACTTACCATACCCTCTGTATTTACCTTCAGTTGTATAACAGCCACCAGAAAGAAACTGTCCAAATTAACAAAAAATTCCGATCAACACGACTATCCAACCAGACAAAAAGACGATCTACGTATTCCAGGTCGCCGCTTAGCGAAGACGCAAAAGATCGCTGACTACTGGGGCACGAAATTTTACAATCACCTGCCACAGTTATACAGTTGCCGATGAAGAAAATGAAAATATACTTCAGAACATATTTTACGCAAAATGCTTTTTAAACCATAAATGAATTTTTTTTAAACCTGTTACATAATATTGCATTTTTTTTTGTTTCTTCTTTGACGTATTGTAAACTTTATTTTACACTCAATAAATTATTATTATTATTTACGCATTTCTGAACCTCCGACCTATTCTAACCCAACTCCCCCAATTTAAAATGTCCGTACTTGGAAGTAGTAGCTTTAACAATGTTAATCCTTTACGCTCTTGCTATCAGATACAGTAATATTGAGAAAAATTCGATTTAGTGAAAATTAAATGAAGTCGTGTTTTTATATTATCTTATTAGTAAAGCACGAATAAAGCTTTTAGTATAAAAGATGTAGCAAACTTTATTAGGTATTAACAATATTAATTTTACGCTGTTGCTGTTAGATGGATTATACCGAAAAAAATTCGATTAGATGGAAATTAGATGAATCATGGATTTACGTAGTGTTTATGGTAGAGTACGGGATTCGGAACATCTTAGAAAAAAGCTTTTAGTATAAAAGATGTAGCAAACTATATTCTTAACAATATTAACTTTACGCTGTTGCTCTTAGATGCATTATATCGAGAATAATTCGTTTAGGTAAAATTTTAATGAAACAGTGCTTTTACATTTTATTGTTGGTAGAGCACGGGGTTCGGAAAGTTTTAGAAAATAGTTTATTTTTAACAATATTTATAATTTATAATATAACAATTTTGATATATATTATATTTTTTTTAATATAATTCGCTTAATTTATAATTTTGATATTTGGCTATAGAATATTTTCGACCGAGATATTGATATTGACAAAAGTTCAAGATGATAACTTGATATCCAGTTATATGTACTAAGTAGTTGAATTAGCAGCAAAACACGTCGTGAGTAATTGGCGTTGCTCATGGCATTAGTATACTAGGCGGACCTAAGATTTTCTCCTTGTCGTTTTTCTGGTAAAACAAAAGGTCGAACCCATCAAGAGCCGTCGGGTAAATCCGATTGTTGTACAGGTACCTGCTGAACACACACAAGCAGGTCTGAACGGGTTCGTGAAAAAGCATGCGCCGGATCCAGATACAAGTAGGGCGAGCCTGCGACTAGCGCCAGTATCAGGGGTGCCGTGACGGAAAACTCGTCTCGATTTTCCCACGTAATCGATTTATACGTGACCGATAAATCACGTATATAGGTATATAAGATTGTTGAAAACTTTTCCGAGTTTTTTTCAGTCGGTCGACTTTTTCCGGTCGGGTCGCGAGTGGCAATAATTTTTGGTAAAGAGAACCAAGTGCAATTTTGAAGTGGGAAAAATTTTAATGTGACGATTCCGACTTTGTAATTGCGGTGATAACGTACTCTAACCGGCGGGTGAAGGTGATTCGTTTGGATTAAATCGCGGATTAATTTTGATCGCGTTTTAGGATTTGATATAATTATAGTGCGGAAGTGTAGATTATTTTTATTGGTGATAATATGTCGTGCTTTATGACCGAAGTGTGGAAAATGTGCGACCGTGTTTTCAAACTGTGGATTGTTTCATTCTTTTTATTCTTCTGTATGTGGCTTGTTCCAGCAAGTGTTAACGCAGGAAAAGATGGTAGGATAATATTTTGAAATTTTTTCTGAAAAGTTTTTTAACAATTTTTATTACTAAGGTTATAATTATTTAAATCACATAATAAATATTTGTAGAAGTTCAGTCATAATTTATAAACATATTGAAGTTTTCAAAAGTTTTATTAAAGTTTTGTACTCTTCTAAGGTTTTTATTGGATATAAAACAAATTATAATAAATTTATTATGATGGATAAACTTTAGAAATGATTCTAAGAAACAATAAGAGAAATCATTTTAATGCAGGTACTCTATGCATTAGTCCATTTCGAAATACCTTACTTAAAGTAGTCGGATATGAGGGATGCCTAACGGAATGGACTTGAGCTATAAATCTTCTTGGTACCCTTGGGAAGGACATTAACGTTCATTCATGCATTCCGTATTTCTGGATGGATAAAGTAGTGAATGATAAATGAAATTACCGATTTAAAAACCAAATCGCGTTTCGTTTATGTATAGTTATGGAATATGTGGTGATTTATACTTATGATCACTACTTAAATAACTAGGAAGTTTAGGAGAAAAAATAAGTTAGTCGATTAAAAAAAACTTTGTTTGGGAGATAAGCAAATTGAGTGATGCAGTTTTATCATTTAGTAATTTTTATGCCAGCCCATAAAAATATGAAACGTGTTTAAAGTTCTATAATGTTGTTGTCAAGTTTAAAGTCAATTTTTGAATTAACCGGGTAGTTTTAGTTTAAAAGCAAAGTTATTAAAGTTTGTTGTAATACAACTTGTTTTTAATTTTAATTATAAAAGCGACGACTAGCTGGGGAAATAATGTCTTTCGTAGAAAAAACCGTTAATCTAAATTTTCTGGCAGCTTCTTTTAAATTATGAACGATTTTTTACCAGGATTAAAATTTACTAAATATGTACACTTGCTCATTGTATTTTTTACAATGAGTACAAGAAAACCTTGTTGGTCGTTTTTTTCGTGTTTCTTGCACAGTCATATCCGGCATACAATTAGTGATAACTTTTTTCGTCAACTTTACCATCATTATGAAGGCTTGACACATGTTTCGCTTTATAGGATACCAAAGTAGCGGTTTTTTGGTAACCAAATATACTTGATTTGACAGGCAGGTGCTTAGGTGGTGATATAAACTCGGGTGGTAACTCTTCTTATTTTTTCTAATAGTACCCAATAAATTAAGTTTATTTTTTCGTAAAGTTTCTAATAAATCCATACTCGTAAACATACAACATATTTATTTGACTTACTTGGTAAATACTGCCGGAAACTAAATCGACCCCGAAAGGATTCTAACTTTTCATCTACTGTAAGAAAATAAGAAGGTGTAAATGCAGACTTACAATTGTTGATAAACAACTCGAAAATTTCCCTTATAGGCGCTAATTTGTCGATTTTATCTTTGTTTCTTAAAATGCCTACCCCTACAAATTTAAATCCAAAACACTTTATTTTCACAAACTCCTTCAAACTTAGAATTTATAGAAGTATAAAAGTTAATCTTAATATTTTCTTTCTACGTTAAGTAATTGCTTTAATATTTTATCATCTTCCTGTTTATTACTACCATAAATATGTACTTTGTACACATATCGTATATATAGTACGTTTTAATCCTTTAACTTTAGCAAAAAATAGTAAAAAAATGTGTTTTTTATATGTAGTTAATTGTCATTAACTAATCATTAATAGATTCACCTATTTTACAATAATACCGAGTTTCCCTCTTCTTCCATTTTCCCTGTTTATCCTTTCTGCTGCACACTGCGCAACATCTGTGGACGAAAGTTTTTTTCAGTTAGTGGAATAAATTCGGGGAAATTGCGTGCGGTCAGTCTCAAAAGTCCTGGCTTTCTTGGTCTTCCGTGCGCGGTAGTCGTTGTTTGTCTAATTCTAAATGTGATTACTTTCCACTATTTAGTTTATAAACTATAAAAGAATTGTAAACAGAGATATCTAGCAAATAAAAAAAGTTTCCTTTAATATTATTTTATCGTTTCCTTGTCTTCTTTCCATCGTCTCCTTCCTCCTTTCTTTGGTTTCTTTATCTGGGGTTCGGACGAAAAATCTTTTCTGTTTTTCCGCACCACTTCATATGTTTTTGTTTTACGTAAAAGTTAAGTGTTGTCAAATAGTAACCGTTATCCAGTAAAGAATCTAGAAAGGTTAGAACTACATGAAAAGTTTAGGACTTAAATAATATGATAAATATTATTATAATTATTATTAAATATTAATTATATGATAAATAATTGATGAATACAAGTATCCTCGTTTTGAGTCGCACAAACAATAATATAATATATGCTAAAACGAGATCGTTTCAGAGGGATATATCAAGATGAACATTTTTTATTTATGTTATAAAAAATATGTCAACTTTTTTTAAGTTATTTATTATGATAACTTATGCTTGGTTATGGATATGCTTGTTTATTACAATCTTCGCAATCTTTGCGATACAAGTCTGGGAAAAAATGGAGTTGCAATCAATTCATTTGAAGGCCAATACATTTATTTCTTGGGATTGTTTACGATACCTAACTTGTAAATGTATTTATACAATGTATTCAATGTAAATGTTATTTATAGAAATAGGTACCATGCATGCCATGCATGATGAGCAACCATCATATTCTTGGTTGCTGTTCGGCATATTTACTAGTTTCATTTTTAATTATGTCTACACTAGTTTCCATCCACCCAGATACAATGCTCATTGGCATATTATCATCGTCTGTCGAACTTTCGGTTTTTGACTCATATTTCGTCTGAGACTGAAAGTCTATAAAGTTCCTAACGTGCCAATCGTCGGTCAGATAGATGGCCTTCAGATTTTATAAATCTATTAAAATTCAGAATATAATAATAACAATAATAATGCCTTTATTCACACTCATAACTCATAAGGCCACAAATTAACAATTTTACTAAATCAATTAGAAAGAAAAATAACGTTGTAAGTAGAAACTCGTACAGTTAACAAAAAGAGAAGCAAATGTATTAGAGCAAAAGGCAGACATTGAGTCATACTATTGACCATATTTCATCACTGGCGCTAGTCGCATAATTAAGAGCTCAACTAAGCCATCTGTTGATCAAATAAGCTAAACAAGTTCGAAGTGACTTCGAACTTGTTTTTGAAAAATATTGCAACATGGCATCTGAAACGTCAAACACTTTTTCAAAAGACGCACGGCTTAACCCGAAAGTTTCTAGTTCTAATTCTAGTGTTAGCTCTAGTGATAGTGCTACTATTAGTTCTAGTTTTAGTTTAATTAACACCAGCCGTGAAAGCCTTCGTTCTTATAACTTATTTCAAATAGCATTCCATTCTAAAAAGCGGCGTTCATAATTTTATTGTCCTATAATTTGATGTATTATACGTCCGATCTCTACATGGACGTACAAAATTAAATAATTAGTTTGTCTGTCACACACGCAAGTAGTAGCTAAGTTCACAACTGGTGTGAAGTAACCCATAAATCTCAGCCATAAATTTAAAATAGTAATAATTCCGTAACTAATACGATTTGGGTCAATAAATTTCACACACAGGTCACTCTTACCCTCAAGAACAGCTTAAGCCCACCCCAACCCAACCCCACCCCCCCGTTTTTACCCTGATGGGCACCTTCGAATTAAGCCAAATTCTATCACATAATAGAACATAGTTCTAAGTATTTTTATCAATTTTCAAAACACCGTAACCCCTAACCGTTGTCGAGAAAAAAAATCATTCTTATAAATCGCGGATGGGACTTTAGGGGTTTATTGTCAATTATCGTCAATAAAATCCGAAACAGCTCTTTGAATGACAGATTATTTAATCAGCTTAGTGTTGTTAATGACGAAGATTTCAATCGATTGTTGTTTCACAGAGAAGTGCGTTGGCTATCAAGAAGTACTTGTTTGATCCGTTTTTACAATCTGTTTTGAAATGCACGACAACCTCACCATATCAAAGAATGATATTGCGTGCTTGGCAGACTTGTATAAATTGTTTAATGATATCAATCTCCAACTTCAAGGTGATGACTTAAACTTGATTAAAAAAATGTCGTTGCTGCTTTCGTAGCCAAACTGCTTGTACATAAGAAAAATATTGGCAGACATGAGTTTCACAATTTCCCTAATTTATCAGTGGCATCTGAAGTTAAAAATTTAAGGGGCGCTAGAAAATATTTGATTCTCAAAGGGGCAGAAGAAATTAGTTTGAGAAACTCTGTACTGAAGGATCGACACGCCTCCAACTTCTCATGCATTGTTTTCTTTATAGGTGATTATATTCAAAGTGCAAGTTTTTTGTCGCAAGCAGTGTAACCACCTTTAAAGACAACAATGCATTTGTTCATTACTGATGAATTCGTACGAACTCTTACTAATTCGTACAACTACATTTTCGTACGAATTCTTACCCAATGTAACCGCAGTCTAAGTATCAGGTTACTGTTTTTATGAATAAATCAGAACACATACAAATAATTTATTCGCTGTATTATTAACAGCGTACCTTCATAGCATACAGTATACAGTACCATACTCGCAATCAGATCGTTAATATCAGTGCCAAAAGTCAAGCTCCCACAATAGACATTGCTACCTTCATTAACGACATCAAACATGTTTGAAGTTGTTAATCATATTAGTGCAGATTCAGATTTGTCCAAACCAAGATTGCCTTTGTTTAAAAGCTTCATTAGTGGAGTCTGCAATCAAACAACCCAAATAAGCTTCAATCGGAATAACCTTTTAGCATTAAGGGTAAATGGTAATTATAAATTTAATCTTGTCATTGATTTAAATAAACACGATAAAAGAAATAGTAACCTAAAGAATTAAATTCGTAAATAAACTTTATTGTGAGCTAAAAATAAATGAAATTTGTTTATCCATTTGATTTAATCGCTACTTTAATGAATTTGTAACATTATATTCTAAATTAAGTTTATTTCATTGGAATTTCTATTTTGCTGTTATTTTTTCTTTTAATTTGAGGT